GAGTTGCCATATTGCCCAAGAAACTTTACTACGTATCAATCTCTCTGTCGTATGATCTTCCGTTCGTTTCAAGTTTAATGAAAAATTGTAGGTAGACTCAACCGTTGAGATCACCAAGTCATAACGATAATTTTACGAGATTTGACCCCCCTCCTCCCCAATTTTTTACACCGAGAAAAAAAACACAGTTTTTCTACCGTCACAACGGTAGTAATGTCACACGGGATTCTGCGGTAGTAGAACCGTGGGTTTTGATTCTTGTAACGATGAGCACGGTGATATGACCGTGTTCACCGTAATATTACTGTGGGCACAGACGTACTATTATGAGCATGGTTATGCTGTTTAATTTAAGCTGAATGAAGTAGAAATCGACTTTACCCAAACTCAGTTCAAAATTATACTTCCTAATCGGATTTTTTTAATTTATTTTTTATAAATTTATTTTTATTTTATTTTTTATTTATTTTTTTTTGAAAAATTAATTTATAATGTTAAGAATTTCATTGATCTCTGAGCAAACGAGGGTGATAAGAATGGCAACACGAACTAGGTAGGCATAAGCGACATAGGATTTAGAGTGGAGTATCAGTGCTGTTATTATTGTATCAACAAGTTTAGCCGGCGGCGGGCGGGCGTCATTAACCAATTAGCACGGTAATTTCTTGATCCAGCTGTTGGTCCGTCTCCTCGGCCTGCCCCTGCCCCCCCCCTCCCCGCCGAGGTCCTCGTCACTTCTTCAGTCGTCGAGAGTCGAGCAAGACACATTGGACACACTCGACACCTAAATAGAGATGTATCGGTCCGGCCCACAATGGAATGAGTCAATAGGAGAGGCCGGACAAAAATTTGGAAATTTTTAACGCTTATACACTGAAAAAAAAAAATATCGGTGTATTTACTATGAAAAGGGTAAAATCACCAAGAATTCAGGGTTCTATTTGATCCCAGTTTTTTCTTGGTAAAATTTCCATCTATGGAATTGGTAATTTTACCGAGAAATCTCGGTAAAATTATTGACTTTTTCGGTAATTTTACTGGACCCCGGTAAAAACGCCAATATTTTTTATCGACTGTGGTAGAATTACCGAGATAAAATGGCATAGTTACCGGGAATTGATTACCAATAAAAGTGGTATTCTTACCTGAAAAAACAGTAAAAATACCGGTTTTTAGGTAAGCTTACCAGTCTGTCTTGGTAAAATTACCAATAATTGGTGAAAAAGTGAGATGGTAAAGGTACCAACGGACCTTGGTAAAAACGCCGAGAATTTTTTTTCAGTGTAACTCCGTTTATACAAAACTTTGAGCTTCTAAAAGTGGTTTCATCAGTTTCCTCGTGAAGCTTTCTTTTAGAAACACCTTTTAAAATTTGCAATGTAACGAATTAAACAACGAAATTCGCAGTTTTAGCCAACAATTTCATGTCCGACCTCTCTAAAGGTGGAAACTCACTTAATTGACTTGATCCACTGTGCGGCCGCGGCCCGTTTTGGGTGCTCCTCAGGCTTGAACTTCAAATTGCTCACGCCCCGAGGCCGAGACGAGGTGTGTCTATACCGATCGCGATCGCACCCGAAAGAGACGATCCAGTTTAGTCACATTAACTCGACGTCATTTTCCTCTCATTACTCACTTTGACCTAAGTAGAGATAAATCCGTCGCATATCTCGCTAGAGGCTGGTAGAAAAGGTGTTCCATGAGGGAAATTGCCTAAAAATTACACGATCCAGTTCAGTCTCACCCACTTGACGTCATTTTAATACGAATAGACTCAGTTTGAGTTATGTAGAGATACTTCAGTCGCAAACTCTCGCTAGAGTTAATAGCAAAGGTATACCATGAGAGAAATTGCCTAAAAATCCCTGGTAAAAATTGGCGATAGGAGCTGCGTTTCAAAATACCATGGGAGTTCTTATAGCCGACTAAAGAAGGATATGGAAAATCATATAGCTGGCTGTAGAAAGCGGAGTAAATCATATAGTCAGGCTATACGAAGATATAAAAAAGTATAAGGTCGGGCTATAGTTCCTGTCGCCGGGCTTTACACTTTATCGCCATTGGCTATAAAAGGCTATAAGAAATTGTGTAGAAATTCGTGTGCTTTGGAAATCATTAAGTTCGATACGGAACTACCTTGATATTTACAAAACACACATTATATTTTCCTTTAAAACATATTTGTCTCATCAATTAAAATGAGAATTATCCATACAGAGTGTGCAAACATTTCAAAATCATGAGTTGAAAAACGCTGACTCCGCAAGATTAAATATTAGAGCCTAACACAAAGCGGAGCAGCGACGCACTAGCGCCTACAAACCTAATAGGGATACTTCACGCATTGCGCAATGCGTGAAGTATCCCTGTTAGGTTTGTAGGCGCTAATGCGCATGTCGCGCTCTCTGCCCGCCCGCCGCGCCGCAGCGTGCCACGGCGTCTGAAGCAACTATTTCACACCAGAGGTATTGCACAGTATCATAATAAATTGAAGACGCTCCAAAATATTAAGATTGGCAGGCATCCTTCAAAAGTACGGAATATTCCTCGCAAAATAAATTAAGATACTACGGCACAAAAAGAGAGCGGTGGTCCAAAAACTAACTAAGTCCTAGAATCCGTATTCAGTAACGTTTATCATAAACTTTATCGTCTGGCTGTTGCTTAGTCGCCATCGGCTATAAAAGGCTAAAAGAAATTGTACAGCCGGCTACAGAAGCTATTGGAAATCTTACAGCCGGCTTTAGGTCTATGGTATTTTTGAACACAGATTCTACTGCCAATTTTTACCAGGTATTACACGATCCAGTTCAGTCTCACTCACTTGACGTCATTTTAATAGTAATATACTCAGTTTGAGTTATGTAGAGATAGATCAGTCGCAAACTCTCGCTATAGGGTTAATAGAAAAGGTAGTCCATGAGAGGAATTGCCTAAGAATTAGACTACATTTTGCAATTAGGAACTATAAACTCCGGCCCGGTTAAAAAACGACGTATGTGTCTTTAGTTTCCCTATACACATAAGTGTTTTTTCAGATGCGCCAGAATGTATAGCTCCAAATTGCAAAATGCAGTCCAATTACGAGGCGCGCACTGAGAAAGTCCAAAATTCATTCCTGGCTTCATAATTTGCGTAAAAAATTGGCGCATTTTTGAGCCTTTTGTTTCACATAATACACTGCTGCAGAAACATAAGTTCAGACGGATGATTTACTCAGTGGCGTGACGTGCTTTCCGATAAATCGATTGATTTGCCATTTAAACCTATTAACAATCACATCGCGATATCAAAACTGAAGCACGTAAGATATTCGCATCCTATACCTGTATGCAACTATTCGAGCCAAGGAGATATTTTTCTAGTATAAACGATAAATTCTGCCATTATGGATCCTCACAGTAAAGCCAGCCACTCGCGCCACCGCGGATTGCGAGGTGCAAGTGTTGAGTAGGGCTTCGAGATGAAGATTTGACTTAAAATTTCTGGTTTTTGCTTGTGGGTCGCCTTTATTTTTACGCGTTACTCTGTAGCTGCTGCATGAAGAGTGTATTAGTAGTTTTGCATAATTTACAGAATTCCTGGCGGAACAAAGATATTTCCGAGGTTTTAGCAAAAACAGTAGAAGATGCAAAGAAAAAGAAAAAGAAAAAATTATTATTATTGCAAATTGGCGTGATAATTGTTGAACAAAAGCGCAGTGAACAATGCATTCCTGCAATGATTTCTGAATGTAAATTGAACAGCGTTTTGCCTCCCTAAATTGACGTTTACAAAGTTATGTATCAAAATGCTGCAATATGTAATCGGCGTTATCAAGCTGAAAATTCCATCGAATTGAACGCGCCTATCTCTTGCGTTTGAAATTGAGATGAACCCAGTTCGAAGGATAATTCGCGTCTGTGGACTGCGTTATCTTCCGGAGGTCATAAAACTCACCTCTGACTGTTAACCGCTTCAATTACACTTAAATTTGAAACCAACTTTATCGACATCATCTTCGGAAATTATTATTATGAACGGAATTCTTGTGGTTGCGTCAGTAAATGACCGAGTCGCGTATTGCCGATACCTCAATTACCTCACTAAAAGAATTGGATGAAAAAAGTGAAGAAACTAAATGTGTTGGCAACAAAAATTTGATGGTTTTATGCGCGGTGTTATACCTATCCTTAAGACACACTCCAGACCAAGACATGCAGTTTTTAAAAAAATAAATGAGATCTGGTAATAGAGACTCTCAATACAATATTTTGATTCCGTGGCTTTTACTATGAAGAACTGAAAAATTAGGTTTACCTAATGAAAGCCTCTCATTAGGTATCCTGCATTTCTTTATTGAACGAGTTCTCTTCATAACATGTCTCAGACGTTTTAAAAGATATGTTAGAGGCATGAGGCATGTGCAAATAGTTTTGAGAATTAATTATCGCAATGGTCTCCTACCAAAGAGTTTTTCTTCTTTTTCTTCTTTTTCTCTAACTAAGTGGTTTTCTCTCAGCGCTTCCAGTTTATGTAATAGCACTTTGATGTCGCTTAACTTTCTTATGGAGAAAGGGGCTTACATCCGTGGATAAAGTAGATGTCTTTTTTTAAAAGAATTCTAACGAACGTTTATTTGTTTTTTTAATATTCTGTGAACTTTCTGCGCCCATTTATAAATATTCACAACAAACAAAGGACTTTAAAGATTTTTTGTGGTGTTCTTTTGCAAGACAAAACATGATCGAAAATTGTTTAACGTTGTAATATAACGTTGACTGTAGTTATCGATATTCGGTGTGTACAAATACTCTCTCTCTATAAAAGTGCTTCAGATCATTGCACCCATCTGAAATCTAGTAAATTACGCCCGAAGGGACTGGGACTTGGGGATGGGAAACACAACTTGATTATGCTGACAAATTCCTCGGTTTAAAAATGCTACTCTTCATGTTTCTAAAATGAAAATAAATTTCTCTCTTCAGTGCCTTACCGTTTGTTTTCATTGTTTGTTGCAGAGATGCGCAGATGACAGCAACTTACGCCCCTCTTGACAATGGGGGTGACTTGAGTAAATTCTCCGCACAGAGATCTACTTCTGAGAATTCATCGGAACATATTTCGTGATTTATAAAAATAGTTCTACTTTTTAATTAAAAATGTGTTCGTGACGAAACCATTTTTCGGCTACCCGCCGTGAAGCAATAAAATAATTCGATACCACGTTGTTATCAGAGAAAAAATTAGCAATTCAATCACTCAAAGGTAGTAATATATCTGATTCTCAATCACGTCTGAGTGAAAGTAGTGACACGTGAATATTATAGTGTTAGATCTTGAAAATTTACAATGCTCTCTAGTACGAATCAATTGTTGAAGTAAGGCGATTCGCTCTACTACAATCCTGAGATTTGATCAAGATGTCTTTCAAAGAATGGCTGTGTTTGTGGCTCCTCTTCCTGGGATACCTCTTCTTCGGGGCGGCCGTGTTCTACCAGATCGAGCGACCCAGTGAGCAGGAGAAAATGATCGAGCTGGCCGAACAACGGATGCAACTTCAAAGTAAGTTAACTTAAATCAAAGCCTAATGCCTTAAAATTACCAGCAATTAGATGGTTAAACTAAATTGACTCCACTGAACGGCGCACAGTAAATCGAGTCATGGGATAGGTCGGACAAAATTTGGAAACTTTAAACACTTATAACTCCGTTTATGTGAAAAAGTGGTTCCATTGGTTTATTCGTGAAATTTTCTACCATAAACACCCCTTAAAATTTAAGATGTGACGAAAGAAACATCAAAACCTGCATTTTTTGTCAAAAATTTCATGTCCGACTTCTTCCAAAGACTCTTTCCACTATGCGGCGTCCGCCATAAGATAAAACATACAAGACGAGTGATGACGATACCTAATCATAGGTCAAGATGGCTCAAATTCGGCCAACATTCGAAGACTACAATCTCGGCTTTGACTGCGATTGTATTAAGAACAATTTCGGGCAGTTCGTTGAAATTTTTCCTACGGTTCAGAAAAAGTAAAAAAAAAGCCTGATGAGCTTTTAAGCGGATGAAGTTTGGTGGGGAGGAACCAAATTTTTGGAATTTGGGAAATCTGATTGTTTCTATTTTTATTTCTCACAAAGAAAATTTTGTTTCAATATTTCAATTTGAATAAACTGCAGGGACTTCAAGTTTTGCGTATGAAAAATGTCAAATTTCATGCAAAAATTACAAAGTGTTTTTTTGAAAATCAATAATCGTTCGGTGCCTCCCTTTTGTATGCAAAAGAACCAAACCAGTTTAGAGAAAATAACCAAGTGCTCAGTTGGTTCCTTCTTAAATCACCTTGAAATGAAATAAAACATAAGAAAGGAGGATACGTTGATGCTAATATAGGTCTTTCAAGCGGTAAAACCTCTAGTCTGCGAAGAAACTTGAACCCCCTCTGTTAAGCTCGATCAAATATCTAGCCTCCAAAATATAACTGAGAGAAGAAAGCTTGTAAAGATATACACACGAGAAGACAAAATCTGCGGAAAATACCCCATGATCTCAGAACGTATTCCTCCGTATGATACACAGAATTAAATCGTAATCAGTCTGATCGAAACGTCAACAAACCTAATTTGTCGCACTGGATTGGTTATTGACGCATCATGTTCGGGAAATTTGTACCCGAATAATTACACCTTTGACATTTATTTTACTCTCGTTGTTGCCGGCAATCAGTCTCATCGTCAGGTTCGAACATATACCACGACGCCATCGAAAATTAAATAGCCCCGCTATGAATATATGTAAATTTGTCTGATATATATTGCTCAATTACGGAAACATCAAACTTGCCTCATTCCGCGTTGTCACTTCATGCAGTAAAGTTTCTATATTTTTTCACGAAAATTAATTAAATAATTAATGTTGATCCTGACTTAAATATTGCATTTCCAGGCACAATGAAGTTGAATAGGTATTATTAGAGTGTGCATTTTTATTGAAAATGTAGCAGACAAAAGAAATAAAATAAAAGAAAGAATGAAGATTTAGAGACCAGTATTAAACTGCTGTAATTTTGACATCGTTGCATGCAAAGCTTCGTGTCCGTATCGCAACGGGGGGTAACGGCTTATCTGTTTGCTTAATGCCGTTTGAGGGGCTTGGAGGACAAGGCGCATTGGTGCAGTTTTTGCTATTTCGAGAAATACGTGTTTAAAGTTTCGAATTAACATGTATCCTCGTGGCGGAAAGAGGCTTCAAACTGACTTTTTGATGCTTACAAATTTGAACTTGGAAACGAATTTTTTTACAAAGTACGCATTAAGATTAGATTTACATGAAATCATTTATATCTCAATTTTTTTAAAAACTGCACTTATGCATCTTGTTCTCCAATCCCCTTGTTTGCAGTTTTCAAATCTCACGTCTTCCAAAAATGGGTCCACCCATTTTCGTGACATATAAAAATCAATGGAAGACGTGAAATTTCAGCAAATCCGTTTTCAAATGTGACATTTTTTATAAAGTATTAACCAAGAGAATTTTGCAAATCTGATGAGCCACTGAATAATTAAAAATTGAATTTCTAAAGTTACTAAAGCTGCCTGAGCTTCCGCCGTGAGCGCGAGAAAGAACACGAGGTCAATTCATCTGTGTCTCGGCTGCGATGTGATGTTGATCTTAAGGCGTGAATACAACTATTCGAACTCTCTGGATGTGCGGGTTGCGTGTGAAAAAATGAAGGCACTTCGGCTTTTCTTGCCCTCATAGCGAAATGAAATGCGTATCACTCGCGCAAGTCATTATATTAGAGCAACATTTAATAGTCGCTAAACACGCATCTCGATTTGCAACGTCACAGATTTCTTGTCACGTTTTTTCAAAGGATATTTTTAACTACATTAGTGCCGATTTACAAAAAAAGAAAAAAAAATAAACAGCGAAGATTATGAAACTTCTTAATCGACAGACGGAGACACATTTTGCGAAATTCTTTACCGATTAAGTACTGCGAAGAATTGCTGGTGTCTTTAAAAACTGAATGAGTAGAAAGAAACTCATAATTAAGAGCTAGGATAAGTTATGAAAAGTGTTTAAAAAGGTTAATACGCATACTTTTAACTAAGCCTCTAGGGAAGCAAGCATTTACGCAATAGAAGTCTATCTTTATGGGAAAACCGTAAGATAGGCTTATTTTACACAAATATACGGAATAAATTGTTGAGCTCTTTTTTCAGTGCACATCATGCTCGAAGAATTCGCGCTTTTTTCAGTCACATGGAGATGGAAAAAAATAAAAAAATGAAATAAAATAAAAAAGTAAAAAAAAAACAGGAAAGAAATTATTTGAACTATACGCTTCATGACGCAAGCAATATAACATGTATAAACTTTCATTGACAGCCCTTCTTTCATAAATTTTTTCATGTTAGGAATGCGTTCTCCGATTGTAATGTTTCAAAATGTCCACTCTTGAAATTGAAAAAGACCAAAATGAAATTTCTGCGTTAAATCGGAGAGGATTATTTAGGAAAATTATGTTAGGTATTCTCTGTAGGAACAGAGACATAGAATTTACCATATCAGAAAACAGATACATTCACAGTCTCTGGATTCATCGGTGATTCGCAAATGGACAGCATTCAATTTTTTTTTTTTTTTGCGTGATGCAGTCTGATTTTTTTCCCTCAATTGTTATTAAAGTTTCGGTATATTTCGACAGTAACAATGTTTTAGTATGCAAAATATTTTATTTTGGAGTTCGTCTAAATATGAATTACGGATTGTTGAGTATAATGAGTAGGAAGAGGCTGAGGCGGTGGTCGGTTGATTGATGAGAGAGCAGAAAACGTTAAATGAGTAAAAGCACGGAAAGAGGAGTTGATCCGTGTCCTGTCGTGACCTCTGACCCTCGTCATGTGACTTCATCTAGCATCTGCCCACGCCTTCATCTCCTCTTTTTGTAGACTTTTTCAGGCGAGACGTACGTGACGTCACTATATACTCTCCAATGAGGCTGCAGGTATTGGTTAAGGCCTGGATACACGCTCAATTTCCGTCAATTCCCGATCAAAATGATGACAAAAATGGCGGTCAAATTTTTGCAGGCCGCAAGATTTGATGATAAATGGTGCGCACCAGTTACCATTTGATCGGAAATGATTTTGGAAGATTCGCAGGAAATTAACAAACTAAACTGTCAGATAAGCTGTTTTCCTACTTTTTAAAAAAATAATTTAAAAAAAAAAGTAAAATCGAAGTGGAGGTGTGCAACGTTGCAATCGGAGAGAAATGCGGTTTCTTTTTAGTGTAGTCATCGATCGACGTATGACTTCATTTGCAGCAGGCGCTATTTAGATAACTATTCGACCACGGGAGATACCAATATTGCCGCTCTCTGGATTTGAAGGCGCGTCACACTGCGAAAATGACGCGACCACGGGGAGGAGGAGCAAAAAGGAGGATGATTCGGATAAAAAGACAAAGATGGAGATTAAGAATCAGAAAATGAAGGGTGCAAAACTTTATACATATAGGCGTGATTTTTTTTTGTATTCCAGTGCAATCTGATTGCAAAAACTACTCCAAAATTCATCTGAAAAAAGGAAAAAACGGAGCGTAATTTTCACTACTATAGTGGAACCCGAACCAGCAGTATTTCAGTTTGTTGCGTTGCAAGCTTCCTATCACATTTTATCGCCCACATGAAAACTGACGACATTACTTAGTTAAATTCTGCACACGATTTATTCTCCCACTGAAAAATAGTTTTGTCAATAATTCAAAGCAGAATCACTTGTCAATGATTTATAAAAATAATGAATTAGGAGCGAAAATAGGTATCATTCAAAATTATAGGATTTTTCCAAGTTTACTACAGTTATTTTGATTCCACAAGAAAATATAGCAAGCTCATTATAAGTGTTCACCTGGTTGACATTGATTATTTCTATGAGCGTTTACAGATAATCGGAAAATTATATCCATGACAAAAGCACCTACATTGATAAAATGATTTGTAATAAGCAAAAGCAAGCATGTACAAGTTTCGATGTATTTCACTTTTAAAATCGTCTCAAAATGTATTGCATACAAAAGTTAGCGTAAGGTTCATTAGATATACTTCAATATCAACTTCTTTCAACGGAGAAGGTGTGGATTGGATGACTGAGTGTAACTCAATTAATTTTAGTGGATGACACTTGCAATGATGGAAAAAATTTGAAAACTTTTCTCTCCCAAATCCCAGAAGAGCAAGCAGACAACGCCTTGAAATATAGGTTAATTGATGATGCAACGATGCAGAAAGGAGATCGGAAATCGATGAGGATATCAGGCCTGATCGACCAAGGAGCGACAACGCCTCCCTTTATTCCAGCAAAATTGCCTCCATTCTAAACAACTAATTCAATTCGCTCGGCGGAAATGTATCTTTTAGAGCCACACGGCGCCAGGCTATTCAGCTACGATTCCGGGAAACAGACAAACATAACATGCATTTGCCGTGCATTGCGCCACGAGCCTGTCTATGCACCGTCCAAAAAATTCATCGAGTGATGGTTTTCTT